TGGCTGAATGGTTAAAGCGCCCAACTCATAATTGGCGAATTCGTAGGTTCAATTCCTACTGAATGCACGCCAATGGGACCCTCAAAAAAGTCTATTGAAAGTGGCAAGATCAAATTATAACTGGTCTTGTTTCCACTTTTCCAGTCACTCTCGATATTATTTTAAAATATTGGATTTTCCGTTATTTAAATCGTGTATCTCCGTCACTTGTAATCATTTGCAATATTTGCTTTGGATTCAAAGCTCATCATATTCATATCAAATCAAGATACTATCATTGTTGATTGAACAATAGGATATCTATCGTGTAATCACAACAAATGACCCAAACGGAAGAATTAGACTACAAACGGAGCCTTCTTAGAGTTGTGAAAATGTAACCCGATCCTAGTCGTGACTAGGTACTTTTGATACCTATTCAATGAACATTGTTAAGGGCGATTGAATATTGACAAGCTACTAGCTTGATAGTCGAAGAATTTGACCAGCTGAGATTCAAGGCTTGTGAATGCATCAATCTCACAAAGTTACAATTAGCTTGAGAGAAACTTTTGCGAACAAGAGTTCACATATGTTGTCCCAAATTAGCTCTTCCTACCACCAAATTTGAGGGCTCAACTATAATATTAAAACCTATAATTACATCGTCATTGTCATAATATTCGGTAATTGTAAATGTTTATAAAATAACATGAGTGAGATAGAAAGTGTACTAGAGAGATTTTATAGAACAATCATGCTACAAGTACAAAAAGTTTTGACCGACAACACATGACGTGAAATAACTCGAAGATGGAAAAAAAACACAAAAAAAAAAAAGGCAAATCAAGTTTCGTCATGTCAGCATCTGTATCATAAGAAATTCCCTCTACTTGAAGCGTTCTCCTTTATATAAAAGAAATTTTGCAAGGGATTAGGGGTCGAAAACCCTTAATAGCCAACGTGTTGCAATTTTTTACTTCATCCCACACGTTCATAGTTCAATCTCACGGCCAGTTTCAATGCCAACTTTTGCAGGCCAGGCCAAGCAGATTCAGGCTGGATCGATCCATCCAACATCTCTAAGTTTGGCCAAGTTTATAAGCAGCTTATAAGCTCAACCAACCATGTTCCTTCAAAGAAGAAACACAGTGATTATAACTACCTTTGAGTCCCACATTGCATGTAGAAAGCCAGTCTTTTATGCTTATAAGCATCAGTCATCCCTTCTTTACAAGCAGCCACGAGTCGGCCTTAGCTCAGCTGGACATAACTTTATCATTTTTGGAAGTGAAGAAAACCAACTTTATGATACAAAAGAAACAAGGAAAGAACGGGCATTACTCAGTATAAGTTAAGAATCTCCAGTAATACAATGCAGTGAAAGCATCCCATCTGTATATTGCTTCCTCACTTTCCTGTACTTCTCCAGCATCACTTTGTAGCATTGCTCAACTTCCTCAAATACTATTTCCTTCCAAAATTTAGATTTAACCTCCATGAAAACGGTTTCTGCTCTCTCCCTATGATTACATAATATATGAAACCCACAACCGTTATCTGTGTCAGACCTCTGTGATCTCTTCACTTCTTCCTTGAAAATGAGATCTTTAACCCATCTTACTTGGTCTAGGGGATCTTCATGCTTCTGAACAGCTTCTTCTAGAAGCTTCAACGCATCTGAAAACTTTAATTCGTTGTTGATTTTACTGATTAGATGCCAGAAAAGTGTTCTCTGATTCGTACCAAGCCAGCCTTCGTTGCTTGAAGATGATGAAAATGCACCAACCAAGCAAGCCTTCCGAAGCGCTGGATCAACATTGCCCAATTGCTTGATTGCAATGTGCAATAGGTTGACGGACATAACATGTAGACTCCCTGATACAGTATCTCCATACGCGTCTGGATATACTTTCTGTTTCTGATCCCAACAACACAGTGCAACTTGAATGAATCCGTCCCACCTGTCATGGAAATGATAGTCAATATTTATATTCTTCTTTAAAACAGTGATAAGCAATCTACCATTTAACCTGTGTCTTATCAAATTTAACAGGTCTGCTTTTCTGAAAGTAAGAGGCAATATAAAGATTTAAAATCTCCTCATCCTATGCAGCTCAATCGAGAATCGAACTGAAAATGAAATCGACTTGATTCCAATTCATCTTTTTGGTTCAATTTTACGAGAAACTAGTATAAGACGTTTCAGCATTATACACATGATTTAAAATCAGGCATAGTCAAGTCACACTTTGGTATGGCTGGATGAATGTTAAAATTGGGCTTGGGGAACATTTCCCGAGGACTTCAATGTACTTACAACCCCAGAATAAAAATAAAGACGTAACTTGTTGAAATTACAATTATTGTTGATACCATTCAAAAGTAAGGGAGATTATAAATTTGAAACAAGAGAAGAAGTTTGGCGACTGCAGAAGATGTTAACATCAATATATTAATGTATCTCACAAATAAATTTGGTTGTCTGCTTTGTCATATATATCTCACAAATAAATTTGCATATGTAGTAGGGTATTGTCTGTTTCACAATAAAAAATTGGACGAGAAATTTCTGAAACATTCCAAAAAGACTTATCCTTTGTAAAATGATAAAGAACTGATATTAACAAAAAATGTAAATGATCAAAAGCGGTTATTAGATAAACTGTCTCTGGGGAAAAGGAAGGTTATGGCAGAGTGCTAACTGCTAAGGATAGAGAGAATGCCAGTCAAACATTAATTCTAATCCCTTTTCACAACCAAGTTAAAACAAGTTTGAGAAATTACTTACGCAAATGGAGGTTCAATCTCAATGGCCAGAGTCAGATGTAAAGAGAATTCAGCGTTTTTGTCAAACTCATCATCATCTATAATCGTTTTTGCCTCATGAGGGAAACCTCTAGGAATATATAAGATATCTCCTTCTTCCAGCAAAAACTGTTTGCGTTCGTCAATCAACTTATTTTCAACCTCAAAACTGTGGCATTTATCAATAGGTTCATACAAGCGAGGTAACTGGAGACTTGACCGAGGAAAAATCGTCCATTTTTTTACTCCCATAAGTTGGCATATAAAAACACAGTGGTCATCACTGTGACAAGCCAATCCTTGAGAGTTGGGAGGTGTCAAATACATATTTACCCCAGCTGAGGGCTGGCCAAAGAGGGATGCTAACCCATCTGCGATAGCAGCAATACTTTGAAAACGGAACTCCATACCACGCAGGGCGATTGAGTAACCCTCTTTATATGCTTCCTCACATTTCAAAATATCATCGATGTGCAGAATATGAGGAGCCAAGCAGCAAGAGTTCGATTTCTCCTGAAAATAGTGCAACTCCTCTCCACTTTGCGTTTTTATAACCCGAATATCTTGGTGGTAGATTATTGGACAACCAAGATGATTTCTTACATCCTTGATAAAATGAAGGATATTGAGTTCATCTGATGCAATTGGTGGGCAGGAAGTAATACTTTTTAGCATTGAAGGAAGTAAGGAATGTACAGCCTCTTTTGATTTAAGAAACTGAACAAAAGGACTGAAAACATTGTCCTGCCTAGTTGACGCCTTTTCGGCATCCCTTATTAGATGAGGTGATACCTCCCAATAATTCGATAGAAAGCATTCAAAAGTTGCTTCTCCCTGATTGACAATGCTTCTCTTAACATTGTCAATATCTGCAGGTCCTTGGCATTGACCACGAGTAATGGATAGCCTAAAAATACTTTCAGCCAGATTGTTTGTTTTGATGTTGCTTGTATAGAAACCTTTTTCCTCGCCACATTTCAGATAATTGCTGCATAACCTTTGTTTACTTACTTCAACCCACAGCCTTCTTAAATAAATAAGTAAAGAATCAGAAAGCTCTGTTTGGATATTTTGCATCTGCTCAATAGTGCAGGAATTGATAAGAGTACAGGCAGCGTGAAGAAGCATTACTGGGAAATCATCTTCCTTAAACATTATTACATCGGCACATAGAGAAACTATTCCAGCCAGAGATTTAAAGGCCTGAACAAAGCAAAGACTACTGGATGTTAAGAAAAAAAATTTATTTATGTAGACAAAATTTGCAAACTGATGTAATTCATGAAACTAGATACCTTGTAATTAGAACATTAAATCGTGAAACTAGATACCTTGTAATTAGAACATCAATTTACCAACAAATATATAACTACCAAAGGCTGCAATGCTAACTATCTCAAAAGATCATTTTCAACTTAAAACTGATTCTAAATCCAAGACATAGTTAAATATTCTAATTGCATGCACATAAATATAAAATGGGGGAAGAATATAAAGATTTTGGTTTGAAACTTCTTGTATTGTTGAAAGGCACAAAGCAAATATTTCCTTTTGATTCTCAAAGGATAATAATTGTACACAGGGAAAAGAATGGTGCATGCAGGAGCCTTCTCAGTGTGTGAGAGCGCCACTTTCAAAATTAATCACTGTTCTACCCAGCACTATACTTTAAATGTAGAAAATTGAGGAATACTCTTCCACTTTTCATATATTAGGATACAAAGTAACATGGATAGTTCAAGTGTTCAGTCAACAAGCAAAGCCATAAATTTTTTTTTTTTTTAAACAATGATTTTCTCCATTTTGGATTCGACTGCCAGGCAACTACTTTCTCATATTGCTATTACTTCCAAGTGGACATGTAACTATTGGCTTCAAATAATTAAGAACAGTTAATAGTATTGTCTTGACAGAGCAAAGGCATTGATAACTTGATGAATATTACACACGAGAAAGAGTGATGCTGTAAGTACAAGTTGGGAATGCTCCCATGTGAGGTGGCATTGGCCAATAACGTGAGTCTCATATCCCCACATTTAAATGGTCTTATCATTTCACCCACATCACATGCCACATTATGATCCCAAGTTTGTACATATAGCATTTTCCCTTGAGAAATGATATTTATTCATCTAATCAAGTACTAAAACAGTGGTACTTATTTCCATGTTGGGGCCTAAAATGTCCAGTAGAAGATTTAACTATGCTTTCTATTCTAATTTACTAAATAATACTAAAGAATAGTGGACCATAAAGATTTTTATTGAATATTATCTTCTTTTGCATCCTTTCCCTGATATTCTTTTTCTTTTCCCATCTTATTATTCATAAATTGATCTCCTAGTCTCCATTCTTCTGGATGGTTTAACATAAATTACATGCCTGTCAGTTGAACAGCTAAATGCCATTTAGCTTTTCAGAAAATATGTTGGAAATCCAGTATTCTTAAAAATCACTCGTGTAGTAAAGCTTTCAAATTTCACCTCTTTCTCAAGATAGATACATTATAAACCATTATTGTGTGCCTATATTATTCACTGTCTTTTCTCTGATAAGTTTTCCATCTTAGGTGCACCTCTTTCTCAGAATAGTATCCATTAGAAACTATTCATCCTGTGTCCATCTTATTAACTGTTTTTTCTCTGATAAGTTTTCCATCTTAGGTGCACGTGTCCTAATGTGATTACTCGGAGGCACTTTCAGTACTTTCCTCAATAACTTTGTACAGTATGCCACTAGTTTTGTGGCAAGTGATGTCATCATCATCATAACAAAATATAAAAGAAAGCTTTAATTTGGGCATCATCCTTTCTTGCTGGAGAAAGTATTTCTACATAAAGAAGAAACCAATACAATCAATCTATCAGCAAGGGAGAAAAATAGTTTGAAATTATATGTTATTGGAGGTTTTTCCCCCCTTCTTTTTACGAGTAAAAGTCACAGCATCAGTAATGCATCATTATCTTTTATACAAACAACTGAACAAGTATAAATAGAATACTGTTCATGCAAAACCTAAACATCATATTCTGTATTTATCAATAGAGATCAAATCCTAACATCCCCATTGAAATCCAAATTTTCAAAATAGAACTCTATGAATTCTCATATGCATCACATCTCACGAGCCAGTCCTGAAAATTTGTTATATGAGATCCAATTGTACATCAACCCATAAGCACTCTCATATGTCTAGGAATACTATGAAGGCAAAAAATCGATTATCATTTCCTTTTTTATACAAATACCAAGAATTCTGATCTAGATTTCTTAACTCACTTTTACATAAGAATTATTTGTTTATACCCTTGATTATTCATGGGCCCTATTTCACATTTTAATTGCAAGCAACCAACATATGCCATGTTAGTGAGTACTGAATAACTTCAAGAAGATTTTCTGGAAGATGCTCACATAAGTTTATCCATAGCAGAGAGTTCAAGTAGTCGTTGTTGCCCAGCTGCTGTTGTAGATAAATCCAAGATGGCATTGCAGGCAGCCATTGATATTTTTCTTTTAGTACTTCCCAGCAGCAAGATTAAGCCCTTTACAATTTCGCCATCCAAAGAAATCATTTCATTTAACTCAAGCGACATCAGCGACAATGCCCCAATGATCTCCACACTTCTACATACAATTTCAGCACATCTAATAAAAAGAGAAAAATTTAGACTTGGTAGATTATACATATAGAGCAGAAAACTACCAAGAATCAGTAAATTAAAAAGTATAGAGCATTGAGCAACTCTACACAACAACAGAAAATCCTAAACTTCAATTTATGTGCAACCTTTTAAACTGAAAAAAGAAAAAAAAAAAAGTCTTTTTTGGTTTCTGCATCAAAACTAATGTTACACGCCTGGCCCAAAAAAAAAAAAAAAAGGGA